AGGGTTTAGTGGTTGATTCTAAAAAGAATATTAACTCATAGTAATACAGTAATAATTATATATTCTTCTTAAAATAAGAAAATAAAGAAGAATTTTAATACTCATCGAAATCAAAAAGAAAATAAATAATTAATATTTAAATAATTGATGTTTAAAATACTCTATTCCATATCAAATAAATGAGAAAATGAAATTATCATAATTCAACAACTAAAATCAAAGAATAATCCAATAGTTGAAGAATAAATACATTTAAAGCGAAGGGACGGGATTAGTTATCTCCGCTGAGCAAGGAACAGTAGAAAATATTTCTATTAATACTTAATTATCTCCTTTTTATTTTATTATTTTAATAAATGTCATTTCATTTTTATTGTTTTAAATAACAATAATAAAAACAAGAAATAAAAAGATAATAAAGAATAAGAAATAACAAAACATTTCATCATAATTAATGATAAAATCACACAATAATGATAGAAATGAAAATGAGAATGAAATACAAATGAAAACATTCAATCTAATTCCAACCAAATAATGGAAATGATAAATAAGTGATGACAATTAATAATAAAAGTAAAATAATAGAATGAGAAAGGAGAAACGATAGAGAAATAAGAGATAATGATGATATCATCTGAATCAATGAGGTAATTGTAATGAGATAAAGATAGAGAAGAAGAAAAGAAGAGAAAAATTAAAACAAATACCAAATAACAATAAGACAGAATAAAAATAAGAAAAAAAGATAAATAATAGACAACAAGAATAACAATATAAAATAATACTAATACACCAACAGGATAAAATGTACATTAAAAGAAACAGAGAAACAGAGAAAATACAAAAAGTGATAACATCAACAAGATTAAATATAACGTAAAAGAAAGAAACAATGAAAAATAGAGAAATAAAGAATAAGAAGAAATTAAAACAAAACAAAGAAATAGAGTAATAAATAAAATTAATGATTTAGAGTATATTTGTTAAATAAAAAAATGAATAAGAAATTAAGATACGAACAAACAGAAAATGTAATAAAAGTGACAAACAACAATATAAATAGTAGTTTCAATCGATGGGTTAGTAAATGCAGAAAGAATTAAACTAATTAAAAATTGAAGGATAAAAGAAATCAAAGCCATTACAATAAAGAATAAATGGATGTCATAGGACATTGTTTCTATAACAACAAAATGTATTCTATAGAGTTTTATGGAAATATTGATAATGGAATTAATCTTAATAAAGCAAAGAATAATAGAGAACAACTCTATTAACAGTTCATTTAGAATATATTAATGTATCATAATGAAAATGTCATTATCAAGAACATATTTATTCTTATTCCTTTTCATTAATTCTCTGTTTTTATTATTTATTCATTATAGTATTATAATGTATTTAGTTTATATTTTATCTAAATTAATTGTTTATATACACTCTCTTATTATTATAATTAAAACAATTCCAATATTTACTATTTTATTTATTAAAAGTATTGTTGTTGTTTTTTTTGAACTCAATCAATAAAATAAATGACCATTAAACTTATTAAACAATATAATAACTATTTCTAATACAAATTTATGTAATACTTACACTATGAGAATAATAATTGTTCTCTCTTATCATGATCTGTTTTATTTCTTTGTTAATATTTTCAATATAATTTTTTTATTAGATAGTTCAATTTAGTTAGAATAATACTGTTGTTATTTTGAATTATTGTTATATAAAGAACATACTTTTTAGGTATGAATTGAGAAATATAAATAGAGTAAATTAAATTACAATAAATCTACTTTTTCAAGATTTTCTTCTGACATATTGTTATCATCTACCATTTTACTCTCATCACTAATTTCTATAACATCAGATTTTTTGTTTGTTAGTTGAGAAGTTACCTCTTCTTTTTTTTCATTTTTAATAGAAGTATTTTCTTCATTTAATTCGTTATTATCTATTTTATCAGTTTTGTCCAACTCATTTAGTGTTTGTTCATGATCTTGTTTATTATCATTTAAACATGGAGATAATTGTTTTTCTTCACTTTCTTTTGTTTCCTTTGGTTGTGGTTCAGCTTTATTCTCTTGGACTTCATCAACTTCTTTCATTTCTTTTTCTATTTCCATATTGACATTGTTTATAATCATACTTTCAGTATTTTTCCATGAACTTACTAGTAGATTCAAACAGTCTTGAATGTTTTGGCACTTTCTTACTACAGCTTTACTTTCCTTCTCAAGTTCAATATTTTCTTTCCATTGTTGTGCCTCTAATTGGTAAATACTTTCTTTTTCATTAAACAATCTTCTTTCATTTTCTTGTTTCTTTTTTATGATTTCAAGAGCTTCACTTAATTTATTATTTTGAACAATTAAAGTTTGAATTTTCTCTCGAAGTGTTTGATTTTCAGTTTTTAAGACATCAATATCTGATATACTTTGTTTAAGTTCAGTTATAATTTGATTGTTTTTATTTATTTTTTCAACTTCATTTAGATCAGAATTTGTTTCTTCTTTTATTAGTGTTTCTGGTATCAAAATGAGTGATTGAATTAAAATGTCTAATTGTTGAACTTTAGTTTGAAGGAAAGACAAATCATTAAAAAAATTCTCTTTGAATGTTGAATTTTGATTTGTTAAATCTAAAACTTGTTTTTGAAGTTCTTTGCATTCAGCTTCAATCATATCTCTTTCTTTTTGAATTGATGTTATACTTTCATTATATTGTTTTGAAAAATCTGAATAATTAAATTGAATAGAAGGTTGTTGAAGAGGAGGATTTTTAATTACATCTTCTAATTGTTGTTGTAATATATTTTTTTGATTTTTTAATGTTTCTAACTCTTCAGATAATGTAGCAACAAAAGTATAGATGTCAGCTATTTCAAGAGATAAAGTAGTGAAT